GAAGGAGGGCCCTTTCTCACACGGGCACCTCGCATCCTTGGGTCGTGGCTGCCTGGCTCGGGTCTCTTGAATTCTTTGTTTTTCTCAGGGTCGGCGCGTTTTTGAATTTCGCTGTGTTCCACGGGTCTTGCATCCACAGACGCCATGCAGTAGTGTTATTCCCTCTCCTTCTATTCGTCCTTGTCGGTCATGCTCCAGGGATTCGGTAGGTGCGTATCGTGTCGACGCGGCGGCTAGTCCAGCTCAGGCGTTCAAGGTGGAACGCCGCCAGCGGCCAAAAAATCTGCCTGTACAAACCGATCTGCGCTGTCGGAAAGCCGCGATCGTTTGAGGATGACGGCCCACACGAAGTCAGCAAAAGCCAGCGCCGAGGCCGTCACGACGCAAGCCTGCCACCAGGGCGCTCCGGAGGACGGGGCCATCGAGTTTGTTCTTATATTCCTGGGGCCTAGTAGCGGGCCTCAGAAGCCGAAACCAGGGGAAGCCGTCTAGATCTAACAAATCATATCGTCGGATTCTGGGGATGGGGATAGGTCTACCGATGTTGAGGCGGCACCTGATCAGTTCTCGCAGTAACGGCAAGGGCGCTGGGTGTGCGCGGCACCTGGTCGACTCTCGCAGTGCCCATGCTTTCCTCCTCCATCTCCCCCTCATCCTCCTTCCTTCTTCTTGGTTCAGTGACTCGCTGCGGACCCTGTGATTCGGTGGCACTTGGGGGAAAAAGGGACAGCGTGAGAACAAGAACGAGCATGTGTCATCTCCTCTGGGTCAGGTGCAGTTACACCCGGATCCTGACCGCAGACTTCGCCCGAAGTCCCCGGAGTTTCGGGAGAAGCAAACACACCCCCAAAGCCACACAACCTCCAGCCTCGATCCTCGAGGGTAGAGGGCAACATTCGGCAGCAGGAAGAGGACGTTCATGTCCCCAGACATCCGACGATGTGTGTGTGTGTGTGTGTGTGTTCTTGCCCCCGACGACCCCTTCCCCTGGGGCAGCTTTTTCGCCCTGATTCCGTTTCTGATGGCCCTGGGGCCCGATAGCGGGTTCTCATCTAGATGAAATTGTTGCTTTTATCTTGAGTTAGTTAGTGGCAGGGTTGCTATAGTGCACTTCAAGCGGTTATCAAGTGCACATAAAGTTGCTATGGCGCGCTTCAAGCTGTTATAGGGCATTTCAGCATGTTCTCCGAGTGAGGTGCTGCTCATAACGTGTGCGAGGGACCGCGATCCACCGTCGCTGGCCCGAAGAGTTGAGAAGGGGGAATCGGAGACCAGGGGATCCCCCCCTCCCCCCTCTGGAACAAAAATCCAAGAGAGGGGGTTCAGATACCAGGGGACCCCCCCCCCGAACCTCGCCCCCACTCCCTTTCCGCAAAGAACCGGGGGGGTCCAGAACCCCCTTTCCCGCGGGAAAATTATTCGAGGGGTTGAGAAGAAAAACCTGGCAACGACGACGACGACGGCGACGCGGACAACAACGACGACGACGCGTACGACGCGACGACGGCGACAACGTCAGCGACGGCGGCGGCAGCGCACCTGTCCGCCAGGCGCCGGTTCTGATAGAACGCAAGTAGGGCTCGATCCAGCTCTAATAGAATCCAATCGGATTCGATCTCTCTCTGATAGATCCTGTTACCAAGGGTTAGATCCAGCTCTAATGCACTCCAATTTGGGCGCGATCAAACCCATAGTCAATCCTACAAAGGCTCCGCCATTTTTCAATGGAGTCCTTTTTGTGCTCGATCCAGCTTTTCTGGATCCAGCTCTGACGGAGTCGTATGAAGGCCCAATGCAGCTCTAATACAGTCTTGTTCGGTTTGGATCCAACTTTCATAGAATCCTTCTGGGGTCTGGGGTTCGATCCAGCTCTATTAGAATCCGATTATGCTTCAATCCAGCTCTAACCGGGTCTCAGTAGGTGTCGCTCCCACTGAGGCTGGACCTAGCTTTACTAGAACCATCCTCTAGGGCTGGATCCAGTTCGAATCGAACCGTATCAGTGCTCGATTCAGCTCTAACAGACTCTTGCCAGGGGTCCATCCAGCTTTAATCATATCCGTCTGGGGGTCGATCAAGCTCTCTCAGAATCCTGTGAGGGCTCGACTCAGTTCGATTGGAATCTTATTAGGGCTCGATCCAGCTCTCGATCCAACTCTAATAGAAGCCAAACAAAGCTCGATCCAGCTCACAAGGAATCCTAGTACGGTTGGGTTCAGTCCTATCAGAACCATACCAAGGTGTGATCCAGGTATGGCGCCAGTCTGCTACAGTGCGATCCAGCATAAATGCAAACACATCATAAACGTGGATCCAGCCCTCGTACAATCTTACGAAGGTTCGATCCATCTTTTACAGAGAATCATCCGGGTTGGATCCAACTCGAATCGAATCGTATTGGGGCTGGATCCAACTGTCTTAGAATCCGATTATTCTTGAATCCAGCTCTCACAGGATCTCAGTAGGGGTCGCTGTCACTGAGGACGGATCTAGCTTTAAAAGAACCCTCTTCAGGGCTGGATCCAACGCGAATCGAATCCTAGTAGGAAGCGGTCGTCGTCGTCTCCGTCGGCGTCGTCGTAGGCGTCCTCGTCGTCGTTGTTGTCGTGGTCTTCCTCGTCTTCCTCGTCGTCGTTGTAGTCGTCGTCGGTTGCGTCGTTGTCGTCGTCGTGGCTGTCGTCGGCGGCGGCGTCGGCGACGGGGTCGTCGTCGTCGGTGATGTCGTCTTCGTCGTCTTCGTCGTCGTCGTCGTCGTCGTCGTCGTTGTCGTGGTTGTCGTGCGTCGTCCGTTGTGTCGCCGTCGTCGTCGTCGTCGTCGTCGTCGTCGTCGTCGTCGTCGTCGTCGTCGTCGCCAGGGGGGTGGGAGATCTTAGGCTTACGCCACACCGCCGACCCCTTGTTTATGCCAATCTGGGGGTAGTAGAAGCTGCGAAGGGGTGAAAAGGCGAGTGATATTTGTTTGGTGTCTGTTCGCCGCCACCGCCAGAGGGTCTCGGGCAGTTCCGCGGGGAGGTCCGAGCGGACAGCGACACTGCGAGTTTTGGAGCCACTCGGGGGCCGTTTCGGAGCCTCTGGGGTGCTTCTTGGGGGTTCCTTGGGGCGTCTGGGCGGCCTCGTGAGGGCCTCTGGGGGCCTCTTGGGGCACTCTTGGGGCCCCCTGGGGCTCCTGGGGGCAGAAAGCTAGAGTTTCAACATGTTTGGTCGCCCTCTTGGGCCCCTCGTGGTGCCGTCTTGGAGCCCTCTTGGGCCGTCTTGGGGACCTCTTGGGCCGTGTTGGGGCCGTCTTGGGCCGTCTGGAGGCCGTCTTGGGGGCCTCTTGGGCCATCTTGGGGCTGTCTTTGGGGCCTCTTTGGCCGTCTTGGAGCGTCGGGAAGCCGAAAAGGCGGAAAAGCAAAACACATCGAAAAACACTATGGAAAATCAACAATTTTAGACTCTTGGGGCCCTCTTGGGAGGCTTGTTTGGGACCTCGGGGGCCGTCTTGGAGACCTCTTGGCCCGTCTTGGGGCCATCTTGGGCGTCTTGGAGGGGTCGTTTGGCGTCTCGGGAGCCTTCGTGGGCCGTCTTGGAGGCCTCTTGGGGGCTTCTTGGCCCGTCTTGAGGCCCTCTTGGGCCCGGAAAAGCCCTGGAACCGCTCGTCCCGGCCGTGCTGCGCTCGTCCTGGCCCCCTCCCCGCCTCCAAATCGGCCCTCTTGGGCCGTCTTGAGGACCTCTTGGGCCGTCTTGGGGCCGTCCTGGGCCGTCTGGAGGCCGTCTTGGGGGCCTCTTGGGCCATCTTGGGGCTATCTTTGGGGCCTCGTCGCGCGTCTTGGAGCGTTGGGAAGCCGGAAAGGCGGAAAAGCAAAAAACGTCGAAGAACACTATGGAAAATCAACAATTTTAGACTCTTGGGGCCTTCTTGGGAGACTTGTATGGGACCTCGGGGGCCGCCTTGGAGACCTCTTGGCCCGTCTTGGGGCCATCTTGGGCGTCTTGGAGGGTCGTTTGGCGTCTCGGAGCCTTCGTGGGCCGTCTTGGAGGCCTCTTGGAGCCTTCTTGGCCCGTCTTGAGGCCCTCTTGGGCCCGGAAAAGCCCTGGAACCGCTCGTCCCGGCCGTGCTGCGCTCGTCCCGGCCCCCTCCCCCCCTCCAAATCGGCCCTCTTGGGCCGTCTTGGGGACCTCTTGGGCCGTCTTGGGGCCGTCTTGGGCCGTCTGGAGGCCGTCTTGGGGGCCTCTTGGGCCATCTTGGGGCTATCTTTGGGGCCTCTTTGCCCGTCTTGGAGCGTCGGGAAGCCGGAAAGGCGGAAAAGCAAAAAACATCGAAAAACACTCTGGAAAATCACCAATTTTTGACTCTTTGGGCCCTCTTGGGAGGCTCATTTGGGACCTCAGGGGCCGTCTTGGAGACCTCTTGGCCCGTCTTGGGGCCATCGTGGGCGTCTTGGAGCGGTCGTTTGGCTTCTCGGAGCCTTCGTGGGCCGTCTTGGAGGCCTCTTGGGGGCTTCGTGGCCCGTCTTGAAGCCCTCTTGGGCCAGGAAAAGCCCCGTGGAGCGCTCGTCCCGGACCCCCCCCCCCCTCCGGAGCGCTCGTCCCGGACCCCCCCCCCCCCTCCAAATCGACCGGACCGGGCTCCCGGGGGAGGGGTTTGGGGAGGGGGAAGCATCTCACACGCCGATGATCCCCAAGGGGTCGGCGGATTCTGGACCTTTCGAGTACGTAATTTTCCCCAGGGGGGGCCCCCCGAACAATTCTCCTGTAGGGGGGTTTCTGGACACCCCCTCATTGGTTTTGGGGTGAGGGGGGTGGGTGGGTGGGTTTGTACCCCCCTTGTCAGCAGCGGCTCCGAGCGCTCTATTACAAGTGCTGATCATGCTTCATTGTGGTACATCCGTCGTGTAGTTTAGGCTGGTTGCTATTTGTTGTAGTAAGTTGCGTCGTGCTTCGAATTAGCATTCAATCCAAGCTAAACCAAGTTTAACAATACCGACTTGAAAACATGAAGCAAGGCAAGCTTGAAGGTAGGTTATTGGCGTTTGGAGTATCTCCTAGACAGGCTTAACATGAACTAACAAAGTTTTACATGACGTTTTGTCTGGGCGGGCGATGCTGTTTTGACTGCTGGGAGCAGTTTTATGTTTAAAAGACAAGCCATCAGCGGTAGTGGCTTCTTGTATTGGTTTGGCGCCAAGCCGCTCAAAATGAAGTAGTACCAGCGTCCTTGACGCAATAATGGCCCCAAGAGGCCCTCCAATAGGTGCCCCACACACAGCTTGCCAAGGGGCCTTCCAGAGGCCCCCAAGAAGCCTTCGAGAGGCCCCCAAGCGGACCCAAGACGCCCAACAAGAGACCATCAGAGGCTTCTAAAAGGTTTCAAATCGACAACATATCCGTCTAAAAAGACATTCCCGTGGCTAGGCGGGGGGCAGTCTTCTGGCGCGGGGTAGGGGGAGGGGTAACCCCTTGCCTGAAGAAGGAGAAGGTTAAAAGCGGGAGCGATCTGAACCACGTCCAGAGGGCTGGTTGGATTGACCAGGGAGGATCCCATAAAGGGGTCTGGGGACCGATTCTGGAGGCATTCTGGAGAGGAGGGGAAGTGCCCTCCGCTCTCCCAGGGAGGCTCAGACGGCATCCGGAGGCACCCTCGAGGCCGCTCTTGGGCTGTCTTGGGGCCCTCTTGTCCCGTTTTGGGGCCCTCTTGGAGGCCTTTTGAGCCGTCTTGGGGCTGTCTTGGATGCCTCTAGGGCCGTCCGGGAGCGTCGGGAAGCCGAAACGGCGAGAACGCCCAAATCCTTTGAAAACCATAGGAAAATCAATTATTTTTGGCCTCCTGGGGCCCTCCTGGGAGGCAGGCGCGGGAGTGCCCGCCCAGAGGCTCCCAGGAGGGCCCGAGCAGCCGATGGGCGCGCCTCGCCGTGCAGCCTCCGAGCCGTCGCGCGCCCCGAGGCTGCAGCGCTGGTGGCGGGTGTGCCGGCCGCGCCTGCACCAGGCGCTGGACGAGGTGGAGAGGCCCCTCTCCCAACCCGAGCAGGAGGAGGAGCAGCAGCAGCGGCAGCGGCAGGAGCAGCGGCAGCGGCAGCGGCATGCAGCATGCAGCATGCAGCATTGCAGCATGCAGCATGCAGGATGCAGGGTGGGGACGGGGCTCGGACCAGTCTCGGCACTCTGCCGCAGCTCGCGTTCCTCCTCCTCCTCCTCCTCCTCCTCCTCCTCCTCCTCCCTCCTCCGTGCGGGCTGCGTTGTCGACCAGTGGCGCCTTGTAGAAGCGAAGCCAGCTTGCGCTTTCGGCCGCTCCGTGTTCCGAGGCAGGGCCCTTCTCCACGGCCACCGCCCTGGAAACCGAGCCTCCCTGGGCCGCTCGCCACGTGCGCCTGCTGGGCCAGCAGCTGCAGGAGGGCGTCGTCCACGCCTGTCGCCGCGACGAGCGCCTTCGAGTCGAGGTGCATCGGGTACGGGTCGTCCAGCGTCTGCGCGCGCGACAGGGCGACGTACGCCATGGCCAGCCTGGCGGGGCTCTCCAGCGGGCGGCCAGCCGGGCGAGCGGGCGGGCGACTCGGACGAGCTGGGCCCTGGGCGGGCGGCCCGCGGGGCGGGCGGGCGGGCCCGCGGGGCGGGCGGCCCAGCCCCCCAGGGGTGGCGCTGAATTAGAGTACTTCTCCGCCCGGGCACCCGGGCGGGCACCCGGGCACTCGGCAGTTGCATGGCATGAGGCGAGCTGGTGTGCGTGGCCTGCACAGGCAGAAGATGGGGGCCTCCGTAGGTTGAAAGATTGGGACTGCTCGAGTATAGGGGGCCAGATGCGAACCATACCCCTACCCCCCACGATTTCTGAGGGGGAAGGGTGGGGTTCACTTAACTCGGGAGCTCCCGAACGAAGTGAACCCCACCCTCCCCCTCAGAAATCGTGGGAGGTAGGGGTAGGGTTAATATCTGGCCCCCTAGAGTAGGCCGCCTTATGGACCCCAGAGGTCGTACCATGCGCAAGTGATAGGGCAGTGGGCCCGAGCGGTCTGGCTGGGTAGGCCTCCCCGGCAGGTCCTCCAGAGCACTTTAGAAGGGACTGTTGTGGACCTCAGCCAAACGAAGTGCTATTGGTCACCGAGCGCGTTCCACTACTCGCAAATGGCCTGCTCGCAGACGTCCGAAAAACATATGCTTGCTTCGATGTAATTCATCGTAGATGCTCCGCGGGGCATCCAGGCCATTTGCGAGTAGCTACTTTGCGAGTAGTGGAACGCGCTCGTCTACCATTGGTGTCGTCTCCAGCCCTGCTCATGTCTTCCTCCTCCCCCTTCAGCTGTTGGGGCGCCAAGCCCCGGCGGCGGCGCATTTTATGATCGACACTGGCGAAACGATCGACCTTCGCGTGACTGGACCCAAGCAGGTGCAATGGATGGCTGCTCGCGCGGCCAGCAGTTTGTCAGATGTGATGGCCGTGGGCAGGCTCGAAGTCGGGCGCCTGTGGGTCTGACCTGTTTTTTGGAAGCCTCTGGCCCAGCTTCTCTCGGCTCCAGCCACAGACGACTGGGCGGAGAGGCACAGGGAATCGCTCCGCTCCATCACTGCACAGCAGCAGTGGTGTCAGGCCAAGCAGGCTCGACACGGCAAGGCGGACGCATATTCTTGTCAGCTGTGTGGCATGGCTCCTGGCACCGTCTGGCATCATAGGTTTAGACACTTGCGCTGGCATGATACCAGATGTAAACGTGTTTCCCCTGGTTAGAGGCTGCGGCGGCGCTGCAGCTCACGGGGCAAGATCTCGACAAAGGCCGCCAGCGGCCTGTTTCCGTCCCCGCTCGAGCTGATCCCGCGGACCCTCTGGGACTCGGAGGTTGAAATCCTCTGGGCCAAGAAACCCGAGTGCGGCTACATTGTGGGCTCTATTTTTCCCAATAGCTCCGCCATTTCCCCGACCTGCCCTCTGGCCAGGAGGGCGCGGTGGAGCCTTGCGCAGCTCAGCTATGACGGCCAATTGTTAGCCGCTGCGCACGGTCCTGAGCCGTGGCACCTCGGTTCGTTCCAAGCTGCCCGCGATGGTGAAGACGCGGCCATCTCGATGGCGGCCCGTGGCATCGTGAGAGGAGAGGCCACATTTCACATCGACTGCCAGGGAACGGTCGATTGCCTGCTCGATCCTCTCAGTGCTTGTCACCTTTCTCATCCCAGATACCATATCCGGGAATCTGTGCACCGTGCCCTACCAGGAGCGAGAGCGATCAAGGTGAAGGTTCACTCGCCGTTCAGTGCGGTGTCAGAAGACAAGATCTCGGAGTTTCATTGGGCTGGGAACGGGGCGGGGGATCTGCATGTGGGCCACGGGGCCGCCAGACATCCTGACCGAGGCCCTGGCAGTGGGGCCCTCGATGGCCTCCAGGACGTGGTGAGAGGCTTCGCCGGATGGGCAGTCGCCCAGGAGGGTCTCTTTGCGGAGGCAGAGGCCTTCGACTCTCTCCCTCGCCCTTCTCGGCCTCGGGATGGGGGTGGGGACGTCGAAAAATAGTCTGGGGACGACTTTCCAACTATTTTCGACAAGTGTGGGAGTACTTTTGTGGTATTTGCAATTTTTCGTTGGAGGTGGTGGGGGGGTGGACGTGGCCAGGAGGAAGGCCCCGAAGCCGCCGTCGATCGGGGACCGGAGGGCGCGTCGGCCCGTGCGCTCGCCGTCGCCGTGTGACGAGCTGAGGGTGTGTGCGCGGCCCTGCATCGGGCACGCGCTGCAGGCCGCGCCTGGTTTCCTCCCCTCGGGGCTGCCCCCCCCCCCCCCAAGCCCTGACATGATCTTCGTGTGCGTGGCGTGCGGAGGTTGTGCTGTGGGGTTGGTAGTCTCAGCTTCGTGCGAAGGTGTGATCGCCGTCCGACAGGAGCAGCTTTCGCGCGTCAGCTCCAGCGTGCCGCCAATGAGCGCTCCCCGCGTGGCTCCAGGCAGTACTCGGGTTGGTCCACTGAGGCTTGGAGGTCCCCGTCGCCGCAGGCCCCGATGGGCCTCCTGGCGCATAAAGCTCGCCACCTGGCCCTGGGCCCACAACACGCGGCGCCCTCGGTTGAAACCCGGGGCCCCTGGCTGAATTCAGATGTTTTGCTCGCTCGGTTTGGCCTCATTCAGGATCGCCTCGAAGGGGTGGTCCATGAGAGGCGGACGTTGGTGCAGCGTTTTCGAGCGAATGGCTCTCGTCACAGTGACGAGAAAGCGTTTCTTTTCGTGAACTGTTCCGTCGAATGCCTCTGGCGCCTCGGCATGTGGGAATGAATGAGGAGGATGACGAGGAGGAGGGGGAAGAGGAGGATGAGGATGAGGATGAGGATGAGGATGATGAGGAGGAGGAGGAGGAGGAGGAGGAGGAGGAGGAGGAGGAGGAGGATAAGGATGAAAACAACGAGTAGGACTATCACCAGGAGCATGAGGAGGACTTCGTTTGAGGAGGGGGACGAGGATGAACGACATGATGAGATACAGGAGCAGGAGGAGGAGGAGGAAGCGGAGGCGGAGCAGGAAGAGGAGGGGGAGGAGAAGGAGAAGGATGAGGAGGACGAGAAGGAGGACGAGAGGAGGATGACCAAGACAATCAGGATACTGACGATGCTGCTGCTGATGATGATGATGATGATGATGATGGTGGTGGTGGTGGTGATGGTGATGGTGATGGTGATGAGGATGAGGATTCTTAAACTGATGATGATGCTGCTGATGATGATGATGATGATGCTGGCGCCGACGATAGTGATGACGATGCTGCTGATGATGATGCTGCTGATGATGATACTCGTGCTGATGATACTGCTGATGATGATGAAACTGATGATGAGTCAGATGAGGATGATGATGCTGATGCTGCTGCTGATGACGATGGTGATGGTGAAGAAGAAGATGAGGCGGATGATGAGGAGGAAGAGCGGGAGGAATATATGATGGGGATGAGGAGGATAAGGTGTATTAGAAGAGTGAGGGCGTGGGCGAGAAGGAAAACTGCGTGGATGCAGGGAGGGGGGATGACGACGACAATCATTATGAAACAATAGACGACGACACCGAAGGCGCAGGCGGATCAGAAGCAGTATGACGCACGAGCACTCTTAGGAGCCACCTTGGCTCTAGACACGCTGTTTGGGGATACGGGGCTCTGGCTATAATTTTTCATCTACCCCCTCCTTTCCCTCCTGTCACAGGCGTCGGTGTGCCTCCGAATGCGATTTTCCCATCCCTCGCTGTCCGTTCTCCCTGCTCTCTCTCCTGCTCTTGGTCTGGGTTCTTCTCCGTCTCCCGTTCCACATCCTTCTCCTTCCTCTCCTCCTCCCTCCTCCCCGCTGCGTCATTTTTCCTCCTTCCTCCTTCCTCGGCTCTCCTTCACGCCTTCCTCTCTCCGCTTCTCTCTTGCGCTTCCGTCTCCCCCCTCCCTCATCCTCATCTCTTCTCTTTCAACACTTCCTGTTTCCGCCGCCCTCACCCAGCATCCTGCTCCCCTAGGTGGTAGGAAGCCTAGCTTGAACAAAAAGGGGAACTCCCTCAAATCCTTTTTCTCAAGGTCGACCCCCCCTCCGTTCGCTCCCGTTCCAGGCTTTAGTGTGCCGCCGAGTGCGCTTCCGTTTTCCCTATCCATCGCTGTCCGTTCTCCCTGATCTCTCCCTTGCTCTTGGTTCTCCTCCGTCTCCCGTTCCACATCCTTCTCCTCCTTCTCCTCCTCCCTCCTCCCCGCTGCGGCATTTTCCTTCCTCCTTCCTTGTCGTCTCTCTTTTACGTCTTCCTGTCCCCGCCTCCCTCATGCTCTTTTGGCTGTCCCAGGCTCCAAGACGGCCCAAGAGGTCCCAAAGACATAACCCAAACAGCCCAAGAGGTCCCCTCGCCAGCCCGAAAACAACCCAAGAGAACGCCAAGACGGCCCAAGAGGCCGCCAAGACTGCCCAAGAGGCCTTCAAGACGGCCCCAAGACAGGGGCATGAGCGGGGATCCAAACCGACATTTCGAGCCCAGACGCCAAGAGCCCCCAGGAGGCCCCCGAGGCGTCCCCAAGAAGTCCCAAGAGGCCACCAGGAGACTCCCAACAAAAACTGGAGATGCCCCATCCCAAACAAAAAACCCAAGAGCCCCCCAAGAACGTTCCCCAAAGGCATCATGGTTCCGCCAGGCTCTCTGGGGTTCTCGGGTATCCTCCCTGCAGCTGCCCTGGGTCCTCATCGTGGCTGTCTTGTGCGACTTCTTGGAGCCTTACTCAGCGACTCCTGAAGCGTCTATCAGGAAGTACGCTCCCATATGGTGATCCTTGCGGGATGATATCCATCCTCACCGGATCCTGTGCGGCTAGCTTCGGATGCGCTAGAATTTATACAATGCGTACCTATCTACATAGAATGTCGATCCGTCTAGGCCTTCGGCCCGCTGTGGTTGCCGACTCTGTACATCTAATCGGGGGCGGCAAAGAGGGGGCGATGACTAGGGGTGTGTGTGTGTGTGGATATCATGGCGGGGGGGCATGATATCTCCCCAGATTTCATGGCGCCTTTTCTTATTGTAGTGGCCTCCGGCCAGTGCCGCCGATCCGGGGCGCTCCTGATGCTATTGTTGTTAAAATGGACGATTACGACGACAACGGACGACCAACGGTCGACGAGCGGGAAAATTACGACGACGACCGAAGAAGGAGTTAATGACGACGAACCGACGACGACGACGACGACGACGACGACGACGACGACGACGACGACGACGACGACGACGACGACGACGACGACGACGACGACGACGACGACGACGACGACGACGACGACGACGACTGACGGCGAACGGCTGCCGACGGCCGACGACCGACGACTGGTGACGGCGACGGGTGGAAGGTTCTTCGTTCATCTCTCTCGCTTCCGAGCAATACCAAGTCAGGCCGTGCACCTTTGGCCTGGCAGCACACGAGTGAGCGCCTCTTGGGGCCTCTTGGTTCTTGGGGCTTCTTGGGTGCCTTTGGGGCTTTTGGGCCTCTTGGGGGCCTCTCGGGGTCCTCTTGGGGGCCCCTTGGGGACCTCTTGGGGGCCTCTGGGGGCCCCTTGCGGGCGCCTCGGGGGCATCTTGGGGGCTCTTGGGGTCATCTTGGGGTGGAGGACTAGAAGGGTCCGTTCGGATTCACCCTCTTGAGGCCATCTTGGGGCCTCTTGGGGGCCTCTTGGGCTGTCTTGGGGCGATCTTCGGGGCCTCTTGGACCGTCTTCGGCGCTTCTAAGACGGAAAAGGCGAAAGTGTTAAAATGTTTCAAAACCTATTAGCAACTTTATTATTGTATCCTCTTGGGGCCCTCTTGGGGGTCCTCTTGGGATCTCCTTAAGGCGTCTTGGAGGCCTCTTGGGCCGTCTTCAGGCCATCTTGGGCGTCCAGGAGCGCTCTTGGGCCGTTGGGATTCCCGGGGGGGGGAAGAAAGGGTGGACCCCATGACCCCCCCCCCCCCCCTACCCCGGCAGAGCCACCCCGCCCCCCCCCCAGCAGAGCTGAAGCTCAGGTTGTACCTTTCTTAAACTCACACGCCGGATCGGCGGATTTCAATACGTCCCTGGCCCTTTTGGCCGCGCAAATGCCGCCGGCCATGATTTGCGCCCCCCATCTTGGACGCCCCCCTCTTGGCCGCCCCCGATCTATAGGCCCCGTCCTCCTGACCGCGCCCTGCGAGCGGACTGGGGCCGAGAGGCACTTCGTGCGCGTAGAGCGGGAACAGCTGAAGCTGGAGCTGCGGGCCGAGGACCCGGCAAGCGCAGCAAGCTCGCTCCTCGCCAGCGGGGGCTTTGCTGTTGCCCCTCATCGTCGCTGGCGCAGTCGTAGTCGTAGTCGTCGTCGCCGCCTTGTTCCCCCGCACTCCTCCTCCTCCTCCTCCTCCTCCTCCTCCTCCTCCTTCTCCTTCTCCTTCTCCTCCTCAGCCTCCTCAGCCTCCTCCTCTCTCCCTGTCGCACCCCGAGGCCAGTCTTTAGGGCGGGCCGGGCGTTTCGCCTGAGACTTTCTCACCATTTATGATTCTGAAGCCTCAGCAATGACAGCAGTTTCACAGATGGAGGGCGGGTGGTTTTCAGAATGTGGCTCTCGCCTTCGTGCCGCGCACATTCGTTGTAAACAGTTGTAAGAGTTTCACGGATTGAGCGCGGTTGCTTTTCAGAATGTGGCTCTCGCCTTCGCGCCGCGCACATTCGTTTTAAACATTTGCAAGAATTTCACGGATTGAGGGCGGTTGCTTTCCAAAATGTGACTTTCGCCTTTGCGTCGCGCACATTCGTTTTAAGCATTTGCAGCAGTTTCACGGATTGAGGGCGGTTCCTTTTCAAAATGCGCACATTCGTTTTCAGAATTTGCAAGAGCTTCACGGATTGAAGGCGGGCCGTTTTCAAAGCCTGGCTCTCGCTTTGGCGCCGCGCACATTCGTCTTAAACATGTGCAAGGGTTTCACGGATTGAGGGCGGGTGGTTTTCAGAATGTGGCTCTCGCCTCAGCGCCGCGCACATTCGTGAAACCGACAAATGCAAGAGCTTCACGGATTGAGGGCGGGTGGTTTCCAGAATATGGCTCTCGCCCTCGCGCCGCGCACATTCGTTTTTCAGATTTGCACACGGATTGAGGGCGGTTGGCTTTCAAGATGTGGCTCTCGCCTTCGCGCCGCACGGATTGAGGGCGGGTTGTTCTCAACATGTGGTTCTCGCCTTCGCGCCGCGCGCATTCGTTCTTAAATTCTGCAAGGGTTTCATATATCGAGGGTCGGTCGTTTTCAAAGTGTGGCTCTCGCCATAGCGCCGAGCACATTCGCTTTAAACATTTGCAAGACGCTTCACGGATTGAGGACGGTTCCTTTTGAAAATGTGGCTCTCGCCCTAGTGCCGCGCGCATTTGTAATACATCTATATATATAATACACATGAATATCAGATTATCCCAGTGCGACCCTACCTAGGAGTTGGAGCCCCTAGGAAAACAGCATTAGTACTAACAGTTAAGCTAAAGCTAATCTGAAGCTAAGCTAAAGCTAAGCTAAAGCTAAGCTAAAGCTAAGCTAAAGCTAAGCTAAAGCTAAGCTGAAGCTAAGCCAAAGCTAAAGCTAACGCTAAGCTAAAGCTAAGCTAAAGCTAAGCTAAAGCTAAGCTAAAGCTAAGCTGAAGCTAAGCGAAAGCTAAGCTAAAGCTAAGCTAAAGCTAAGCTAAAGCTAAGCTAACACTAAGCTAAAGCTAAGCTAAAGCTAAGCTAAAGCTAAGCTAAAACTAAGCTAAAGCTAAGCTACATCTAAGCTAAAGCTAAGCTAAATATAAGCTAAAGCTAAGCTGAAGCTAAGCTAAAGCTAAGCTAAGCTAAGCTAACGCTAAGCTAAAGCTAAGCTAAAGCTAAGCTAAAGCTAAGCTAAAGCTAAGCTACCACTAAGCTAAAGCTAAGCTAACACTAAGCTGAAGCTAAGCTAAAGCTAAGCGAAAGCTAAGCTAAAGCTAAGCTAACACTAAGCTGAAGCTAAGCTAAAGCTAAGCTAAAGCTAAGCTAAAGCTAAGTTAAAGCTAAGCTAAAGCTAAGCTAAGGCTAAGCTAACACTAAGCTAAAGCTAAGCTAAATATAAGCTGAAGCTAAGCTAAAGCTAAGCTAAAGCTAAGCTAAAGCTAAGCTACAGCTAAGCTAAAACTATGCTAACACTAAGCTAAAGCTAAGCTAAAGCTAAGCTAAAGCTAAAGCTAAGCTAAAGCTAAAGCTAAGGCTAAGGCTAAAGCTCCCAGGGGACTGGGGGAACCGCGGGGCGGGGACCGGGGGAACCGCCCGGGGCGTGTAGCACTGCCCGGCCCCTTTAATCTAAGAGAGTAAGAACCCTTCTAGGCAGAGCCTAGGTAGGGAAAAAGCAAAACGTGAAATAGTTTCACGAATTCCCATGATCAGCGTACCAGAAATAGCGTTTGGGAAGGATTCAGGATTATGCGGGTGCAGCAATTATGCTGGTTCGCGGTGCTGAAGTCCCAAAAACGGCCTTCTGTCACGATTCCAGATCGTGAGGACGCAGCAGTCAGGTTGATCCGTGGCGTGGAAATCCCGAGAACATTTTTTCGGCATGCTTCAAGGTCTTCAAACGGATGTCTTCCAACGAGGCAGTTCACCCAATGGAAATGCAGCGCTGTAGGGGCCTATGAAGGGGGAACTTGGAGGGAGGGTTCATTCCAACATCGTTGATGACTCTTGGGTTTACACAGGTCCTCCTCCTCCTCCTCCTCGTCGTCCTCATCCTCACCCTCATCCTCATCCCCCTCCTCTTCCTTGTGCCCCCCCGTGCTCTCCTTTTCTCCTCCCCGCCGCGCCTCCTCGCGGGAGGATGCGACGATAAGAAGGGGGGGCCGATGATTGGGGCTCGAGTATTCCAGGCGTTTCTGGTCCTCTTCGGGCCTCAGGCCCCCCGTGTTACTCCGGTGCCTTCAGGGACCTCGGCAGGCTTCCGGGTGCATCATATACCTCCCCGTCTCGAAACACTGATGCCAGGAGGCTGTTTCCGGCGTCAGAAGGGGACCGAGTACCTTTTGTGGTCTGCGCGTACTGTTCTCAGAACATGTTTGTCTGAGATGGTATTGTTCCCAGCCGTCCTGTGTGGAATGGGGTCCTCGTTTTGAAGAGAGTTCCCGCGTCGCTCTCCTTCTCCTCCTCCCTTCCTCTTCCCTCTCCTCCCTCCCCCCGCCACCCCCTTAATTTTGGTACCCGTGGCCATCTCGAGCCGTCTTGGAGCGGTCTTGGGGCTTCTTGGAGCATCTTGGGAGCCAGCTTGGGCTATTTCGAGCCATCTTGGAGGTCATCTTGGGACTGTCTGAGGCCTCCTGGGTGCCTTTCGGGTGCGTCTTGGAGGCCTCTTAGGGCCTCTTGGAGGCTCTTGGAGCCCTCTTGGGGGTTTCTTGGGGGCCCTGGAGGGCCTCTTGGGGCTATCTTCGAGGCGGTCGGTCAACGGAGGGTGGGTCTTAAATGTAGCTCCCCCCCCCTCGGGGGCCACGATCGTCGTGAAGAGTGTCAAAAATTGGCCTTCGCAGGGGCCGAACGAGGACCCTCTGACGCTTCGGGGCCCCTCCCCAACAAAAGCCCAGGGAGGGGGAGGGTTCCCCTCCCCGAAGATGTCGCCCAAGGGGCTGGTGGGATGTGAACACATCGGCTTTATGTTCTAAGAACAGGTTTTTTTGGGGAACACTATTTTGTTCTCAGGGCATTTCGTGGTAGGCCTACAGGAATGCTGAGACGGTCGGTCCCTGCTCAACGTTGCTCGTGGGCGGGGAACAATATCCGTATCCACGGCCTCGCGGGCTGGGCCCCTGGGCCGCGAACCCATACTGCTACCCTTGCCTCATCTTCTTTCGGGGGACCACCTGAAAGGCCCTCGTCGCCATCGCCGGATTCGCCCCCGCAGTCTGTTCAGAACGCACCCCAGGACAGGTCCGGGGAGTAGCGGTATCGGCACCTTCTGGCTTCCACAAGCACGGATCGTTTTCTCGCGAGTGCCCTGCGCGGATCGCACCCACGCGGCCGCGGGCCCACGGGATCTATACCGCGGGGGCGTTGCAGCCTCTGTTGCCGCTGCCGCCTTCGCCAGAGGCGTCGTCCAGCCGCCGAAGTGGGGGACACGAAAGGCACCCACACCGCTACTCCCTGGACCTTTCTCGGGGTGCTTTCGGACCAAGCTTCCGAGGCGGATCCTGCCGTCGCGACGAGGGCCTCGTAGGGGGTCCAAGACAGGGAAAAAGACGGATGTGTGGCCTGCTCCTCGCCCGCGTGGCGCCCCCTGGCCCTCATCTTCTTCTTCCTCCTCTTCCTCTTCCTCTTCCTCTTCCACCTCCTCCTCCTCCTCCTCTCCGTAACTTCCTCAACCACCTCGTCCTCCTCGTCCTCCTCGTCGTCGTCCTCCTCCTCCTCCTCCTTCTCCTCCTCCTCCTTCTCGTCGTAGTCAAACCCCTCCTCCTCCTCCTCCTCCTCCTCCTCCTCCTCCTCGCCTTCTCCTCCTCCTCCTCCTCCTCCTCCTCCTCCTCCTCCTCGTACTCAACCTCCTCCTCCTCGTCGTCGTCCTCCTCCTCCTCCTCCTTCTCCTCCTCCTCCTCCTTCGCCTCCTCTTCCACACCTTCCTCAACCTCCTCCTCTTCCTCCTCAACCTCCTCCTCCTCCACGTCCTCGACCTCCTCCTCCTCTTCCTCCTCCTCCTCCTCTTCCTCCTCCTCCTCCTCAACCTCCTCCTCCTCCTCCTCCTCCTCCTCGTCCCCCTCCTCCTCCCAGGGGGCCCAAGCAGGGGATGACGAGGCGAGGTCAGCAGCATAGGTTTATCTGTTTCCTCCTCCGAGAGGCCTCGGCCCTGGCCGCCAGGCGCGCGCCGCGAGCCCGCGCAGTGCCCCCACCGCGCGGCGCCGCCCTGGCGCGCGGATGGCCGCCGCTTCTCGGGTGGCCGCGCGTGGTTCCTCTGGCGCTGCGCGAGGGCCGCGGGCCTCGGCCGGGTGCCTGCGCTGAGCGCCTGCGCGCTGCGAGCGCTGCGCTGCGAGTCGCGGAGCGCTGCGCGTGCGCTTGGCGCCGCGCCTCGGCCGAGGCTCAGAGGAGGAAAACGTACCCATACCACCACTTTTTTTGAGCTCCTGGGGCGGAGGAGGAGGAGGAGGAGGAGGAGGAGGAGAAGAGGAGGAGGAGGAGGGAGGAGAGGAGGAGGAGGAGGAGGAGGAGGAGGAGGAGGAGGAGGAGCAGGAAAAGGAGGAGGAGGAGAGGAGGAGGAGGAGGAGGAAGAGGAGGAGGAGGAGGGAGGGGGGGAACAGGAGGAGTAGGAGGAGGAGGAGGAGGAGGAGGAGGGGAGCAGGAGGACAGAGGAGGCGGAGGAGGCGGAGGCGGCGGAGGAGAGGAGGAGGGGGAGGAGGCGGAGAGGAGGCGGAGGAGGAGGCGGAGGAGGCGGAGGAGGAGGAGGAGCAGGAGGAGGAGGAGGAGGAGGAGGAGCAGGAGGAGGAGGATGAGGAGGTGGAGGAGGAGGCGGAGGCGGAGGCGGAGGCGGAGGAAGAGGAGGAGGAGGAGGAAGAGGAATAAGAGGAATAAACATATTAATGTTATTACTAATAATGATACTTCTACTACTACCACTAATAATAATGCTGATATTAATAATATTAATAACAACACGACTAATGATATTAATAATAATGGTCATCGTAAGAATTTTACTACTAATGCGAATCATAACATTACGAATAATAAGAACAATAAGCATACTAATATGAATAATAAGAGTATTACTGCGAAAAAGAATAATACGAATGCTAAGACGAATGCTAATAATAACAACACGAATAAGTACGATTGCTAACGCTAATAATAAGAATAATGATAATAAGACTCATAAGACGAATAATAATTATAATGCGAAACTTAACAGTAATAATACTAGTACTAACGCTATACTACTAATACTAGTAATAATAATAGTAAGAAGGCGAATACTAGTATGACTATTGAGAACAATAATACTACTAAGAAGAAGCGCACTAACACTAATATTATTACGAATGCGAAAACTATGAATAGCACTAATAATACGAATGGTAATCCTAAGGCGAAGAAGACGAATACTAAAACTAAGAATGCTAAGAAGCATATTAATAACAATGCTGATACTAAAAAGAAGAATAAGACTTACTACTCAGAAGCATAAGAATACTAATACTGATGATACATCTACTAAGGATAGGAATAATACTATCACGAAGCATAATAATAGTATTAAGAGTACTACTAAGAGTAATACGGAATACGAATAATAATACCACCACTACTACTACTACTATTCATACGTCTAATAAGAATACTAATAACACTAAGACGCATAGTAATACTAACAAAACTAAGAATACGAAGAAGGACAATCATACTACCACTTCTAATAATAAGAACAAGGATTATAATACTAATAAGAATAATAATAATACTAATAAGAAGGATAATAACAAGGAGGGGAATAATACTAATACTAGCAATACTACTAGTACTACTAATAACAAGAGTACGGCTAGTAACAATAATACGCATACTAAGGCTACGACTAATAAGAATAAAAATACAAGTACAATAATATATTTGATAAAATGAAGAATCATATTACGAATACTAACAATAATAATAGTACTAAGAATAATAACATCAATAACACGTCGACTAAGAAGAATCGTAACATGAATATGAAGAATTGTACTAATACTATTAAGACTGTTAAGAATAAAAAGAATACTAATATGACGAATAAGAATACTAATACGACGACGAAAGCGAATAATAATAATATTACTAATTATAATAATAGTAAGACCATCAATAAGCATAGCACTAAAACGAATACTCAGAATAATACGGTGAAGAAGAAGACGAGCCATACTAATAAGAATAAGGCGAATCATACTAATAATAATACCACGAACAATACTACTAAACCTAAAACCAATACTAATACTACCGAAAGTAATATTAATATTATTATAATCACAATAATATTAATAATACTAATATTACTGATACGAATACCAATAATTTTATTATTTATAATGAAATTAATACTAATAACAATAATAATACTCAGACCCTTACCAGTAATACTAGTACTAGTGATAGTAATAGTAGTAGTATTACTAATAACAACACTAATGCTAATGATACCCATACTACTACTACTACTACGAATAATACTAGCAATACTACTACCACTACTATTACTACTACTACTACTACTACTACTACTAATACCATTAATAATGAAAATACTAATCATAATAATACTACAATTAATATTACTACTACTAATAACAATACTACTAGTACTATTGCTACTACTACTTCTACTAATAATATTAACACTAATAGTAATACTACTATTACTAATACTATGAATATTAATAGTATTACGAACAAACAAACATAATACTACTAATACGAACAGTAATAATAATAGTAATACGAATGCTCATACTACTACTACTACTACTACTGCTACTACCACTACTACTACTACTACTACTACTACTACTACTACTACTACTACTACTACTACTACTACTACT